ATTTGCAAAAGAGCCCAACCTAATAACAAAAATGCACAATATTACTGAATGTACGATTTCAGAACACCACTAATTTTTTATATTTTAGATCAAATCTGAAAAAAGACGAGCTGTCAGAATGTCTCTGTCCTCACGTTTCCCTCCAAATACAGTTTGCATGTAGAGCTCTGTGTATACTGAACTACTCCCATTGTGTTACTGTCAATGTTTGAATGCTACAAACCATTCCCTGTGCACTGATGGCTCTCTGTATGCCTCGTACATCAATTCAGGATGTGCATATGCATATGTGTGTGTCACTCTCTCTGAATGAACAATAACTAAAAATCCCCTTAACTCATGCTGCTCTCTCTGTCTGCCACCATCTGTCTCAACTCAATCTCCCAATTTCACTTCCAGATGCAGCGATGCCGGATTTGGGTGTCCATCTACAAGCTCTCTAATTCCCACTTGTCACTTTGTCAGATTCAATGCTGGGGTTTCTTGTCATAGCTGTCAGTGCACAGCAGCCTCATATCTCACTCATTTCTTCCACACGACAGGGGCGTATGTGCCTTGGAGATTAATGCGTTACACCTTCACTTTCTATATCATTTTTGCCTCGCCTCGAAGGTCAGAGGTGCAAAAGCAGAGCACAAGCAACGTTTGTGCCATTTTACCGCAGCAGAGCACTTGATGGCCAAAACGGAAATGCCAAAAGTTTGTGTAACATGTTCATTAAAGTTTAAAAGAAAGAAATTCTACTTTCAAATATATAATATATAGTTTATACATGCTCTGTGAGATTGAACTTTTATATCTCAAGAGTTTCACCTGAGTGGTGGTCGGCCTGTTATCGTAGTAAAAACACCTGAACTACTGTGCAAGTATAATTGACACCCACATGAGCAGTAATATAAAGTTTTAGCTCTCTGTTCATTCGTTTAAATAAAGACTGCTGTTGTAAGCCCAGCGTAAGTGGCCAGAGATGCTGCGGTCAAGTGGTCAGACTTTTTTTCTAGGACTGCGATGGCACCCAGAGCTTAAATTTATCTCAGGGATAGTCCAGCAGTTATTTTGGAGCATGCTTGTATTAGCGACAGCCAGGTTTGATAATATCAGTAAAATCATGACCATCATTATTTTACCTGATCGACTTCCAAAAGCAGACATTCCTCAACTAATGAGGAATGCCAAATATCTCATTTGCTATGAAGTGAACACAAATTAAACAGCTGGAGGCTTTGGACATTAAATGACAGATTTTAAACATGAAGACGAAACAGTGAGAGATGTTAAAATGAGAAGTGTGCAGCTTAGAAACTGCTAGGGTCAGCATAAACACCAAGTTAATGCACAGCTTGTCAAGAACCCCAAATGCAAAAATGCACACGGCTAATCTAACTTGCAGCAAGAAAGCAAATACGCCAACTTTCGAGCATGCCAGTTACGGGCAGAGACTGGGGGTAGTATAATAATCAGTTTAGAAGCTTACAAGGACAAACTGAAACAGGATCAAATCATCTACTGACCTTATAATAATAAGCTGTTATAACAATAGCAGCAGTTAACCTTAAATGATGCTAGTTTTGGCTGTAATAAATGGCAGCATGAATCATACAGGACACATTTACCATGGAAACAGCCTCCTGTGCTACGTGCATGCAGCAGCATTAATGAACCTATCACAGTGAGAACGTGAATTAAAACCAGCCAACTGCAAAGCTGAATGAGATTTTTTGCACATTGACACATTGCCAGAGGATAACAGGCTGGTGGGAAATCAATACTGTCACCTTTGCTACAGATTCAGGAAGCCACTCACACTGCTTCCTCTTTCTGTTTGTTGTTTGCTGGTTCTAACATACAGCAGGACATCAGTTAGGAGGGTTCGTGGTGGATGCTTTACCAGCAGTGTTGGTCAAGTTACTTGAAAAAAGTAATCAGTAACTAATTACTGATTATTTCCCCCAAAAAGTAATCCTGCTACTTTACTGATTACTTATTTTCAAAAGTAATTAATTACTTAGTTACTTTTTAAAAACACGATTTACAACCTGAATAGGTAATAAAGCCCTATTCTACTTTTTCTGCATAATCCATCATACAAAATGTAATCAAATGGAAAAGTCTCTTTTTTTTAACTTGTTTTATCAGTTTTAATCTTTTAACTTTATGCATCAAGCAAAAATTTAATTATATGCACCATTCTCTGACTTGAAGAAATTAGTTTAACGTTTAAACCTATTTTCTGCACATTCCACCACATACAATAAAATATTTTTTGTGTTTACACTCACTCTTTCAAATAGATGCAAGTAAAACACAGCAGAAAATAAATAAAATCAAAGACTCAGCGGTCCTGTTGCTCTATTTTCACCTGCATAGCAAGCGGAGGTTTGCCCTGGTGCAGGTGTGCTGCAGCGGTCAGTTGAAGAATCCGCACACTCGGGGCTTGCTCGGAAGTTCAGGGGTTTTTTCACTGTAAAAAGAAGTTTTCTTCCCACGCAGTGAGCAGCGGACACTAATGTTTTTGTCACTTTTTATGGAATCAAACTCAAAGTAAGGTCAGTACTTCCACGCTTTAAATGCTGCACGCTCATACTCTCTCCTGCACTCGATATATGATCCATTGTTGATCTGCACACAGCTGTTGTCACGAACGCCGCACTCGCTTATGTCACTGTCATGAGACACTCTCGCAAAAAAATCACGGGTTTAGTAACGCAGTAATGCAGCGTGCTTACGGGAAAGTAACAGTAATCTAATTACCTTTTTTCAATAGTAAAAAAGTAATCAGATTACATCTCTGTTCACCAGCCACCAATTTTATATTCATGTTTGTCCACACTCATGTGAAACTTTAAAAGGAAATTAATTTAAAAAAAGAATCAAAATGTTTTGCCAAGAAATATCTACTTCAGAAGATAAACTTGGGGATGTTGCTACAATGATTTGTAAAACTTGGATTATTGACACACATCTTCAACTTGCCAACCCAGTAGATCGATATAACAATCACCACTTCAAAGTGGGGATGCTAGATTCATAACACCACTTCAATACACATGGTCACAATCTCACCCCTGTTTCTTAGATAAGATTCTGATTTATGTGAGATGTGTTTTTGCAGATTCAGATGAACTCGAAGAAATTCCCTAAAGACCTGACCAAAAGTTTAAAAGAATGGCATTTTTGCACGTACAACTGATGGAATTTGCTTGCCCAATAGTTAAAAATATATCATTTAAACTCATTGAAATGATCATTTTAAGCCAATTAGTCTGAGCAAATGTTTCTAATATTCGTACCATTGTACAGCATGTTGACAGACCAAGCAGTTAATCAACTGAAAAAAATATCTAAGACTCTTTAATTACAGGAAACCTTCTGAGCAGCACTCCATTACTAAATACTAAACATAAAGTTTAAAACTAATGTACAGCATGAGAAGAATGATTCAAATTCCTGCTTTCATAATTACACCAGGCAATTCATACTTCTTATTCCACAGGAGCAGGTTCTTAATTTCCAATATATGATTTCAGTTAAATGTAGTAAACAATTTAACTTGGCCATAAGTAGGTCATATTAAATTCTGAAGTAAATTGGGAGTTTAAATTGGTGCTATACAGATACATGGCTGGGGTTCAGCAATAAATAAATTCATGCCTTATCATATGAACCCTCACGCACTCACTGTCATTCGGTCTAATATCTGTTTGATATTGATCGGAGAAAGGGTGTTTAGATCCACCTATCTATCGTCTGGAGCTGGTATCACAAAGCTACAGAAAGCTAGGACTCAGATCAGCAAGTTTAGTCATTACTATCCAAAGTACAGTAGAGCTAGAAGAAAACAATGGATGGAGTATGTAAAACTTAGAAACACTCATATGGAAAAACACATTAGCACAACAGTAAGCAGTGTTGCATAAAATCTCAACAAACTGCAGCATAGCCTGGATGCTGTGGCCTTGTACCTTAGCAGGGCTCAGCTTCAGGATAGTTTCTGAACAAACAATAACAATAACAATTCATATACCACAAGTATAAGACATGATAACCTCCTTTTCTCGAGTGCCACTCTTTTTTTTTTTATTTATTCTTTTTTAGTGTTTTATGAACATTTCTTAAATAAGATATAATGTAAAGGATTCCGAGCATTGATTGCAAATGTCTACAAAGAGTTTCGAGTAATTCCAGTGGACAAATTGGCTGGTTGGAAAGTAAATGGACAGTTTTACGAGGGGAATTCTGAAAGGCCTGAAGCAGTATTTTAAAAGGAAAAGGCTTAGCATAAATAAGTTTTTTATATTTATTTCACCACTATGATAAAACCCCTTACTTTGCATTTGTGTAAGAATACATAGCTGTGAGTAGCTGCTACTCACAGCTAACTATTTCTATGTGAAATGTTATTTGTTTTACTGTTACCGTTTTTAATTACAAAACTTTAAAGTTTAGATCAACAAACTTATTTATGCATATTCTATGAATTTCTATTTAATTTATGTTTCAGGTAGAGACGACTCAAGTGTCTCATTCTGACCAACATCTGCGACACTAACAACGAACACTTTATGTTACATTTCATTAGCCGGGATATACTTGGTAAAGACGGGCGATGAGGGATGAGGAAATGTGAACTGGTGCTGTGGTTTGGGGGAAGGCCTTGAAGGGGACTGGCAACGGCTCCCGGGCCGGGCAGATCCCCATGTACTAACGAGAAGTGAATGAAGGAAAGGAAGAGAGGAGAAGAGGAGAAGAGAGAGAAAATTGGGGGAAGGGTGGGGCATGAAAATGAGAACAGCAGGTATTGGTGAAGGGGGGCTTTTATAGCCTGAGTCCGGAGGGGGCGTGAAGGAGGAGTGGTCCTGCTCCTGAAATTAAGATGATATCTCCACTAAGCAGATAAACAGCATGTAACCCCTGAACTACAGGGTCTGTTACAGCAGTATCTATAGAGCTGATTTTGTCTGTTTACAGTAAAAGAAGTGTTAAAACAAAGAGTGTCATACGTTGTAGAGGGGGATGCTCTTCATGGGTTTGTACTGCTTCAGGGGGTCCATCTTGTACAGGTGGCGGTCAGTGATGAGCACAGCCCGGTTCTCCGACTTGTGGAAACGGTTGATCTGGGAAACACAAAGCTCCTCATTAGTGACACCACGGGATACAGTAGGTGCACACAAACACGGTGACATTTACACACCCTGCAGGGAAATGTTGTGAGCCATCAGCAGCTGGGTTTATGTCTTTGTACACACAGACACGTGTTGTGAGTGTGTGCACATGTGGTAAAGTCATGGATATCTGCTCTGAAAAGCTTTTACCTTGCGTACGTTGCAGGAGAACAGGACTCTCATGAATTTGTCTTTCCGCTGCAGATCGCTTGAGACCAGTGTGAACGATGCTGCCGTGTCAGGGCTGTCTCGCTTCTGTCAGACACACACACCACAAGAAACTTATCAAAATATTCCAGTTTAACTCGAATTAATTCACAACCTGCCCGAGTTAAGATGAGCTTATAAATATCCTATTTATGCATGCATTTTATTGGTTTAATGAATGTATTATCTCACAATGAAAATGTTTTCATTGCAGGAGTTTTAAATGAATAAATTGTTTGAATCATATATAATTAACCTAAAGACAGCCACAACATCCACTGACAAAAAACCCTGGCTTAATTGGGTACATTCCTTCAGTCCAGTATTCACACTCTATGGTAATTACTATTTACTGGGAAAACAGCTGAGCCAACATTACATTGTTAAGATGCTTATCTTCTTATGTCTTCTAATGTCCACCGGGTGTAATTGAGGTCTGTAAAATAAATGCGAGGTGTAAAACTGCTTCCCTTCTTTTTAGGCTTATTTTCCATTCATATCACACTGTTTGTTTCTTGTCTTGCTTGATACTTTCTTTAATAAATCTGCTCAAAGAATGAGACTAAACACTTTTCCTTTGTTTTTAACTGGAAGATTTCTCCATAGAGTGCATATAAAAGTTAGACAAGGCCACCATATCATCACTTATTGGTTCGTGGTCTACAACTTTGAAAGTTTGAAATGAAATAGGATGTCATGAGCGATGATCAGACTGATTAATACCTGAATCCAAAAGAAAATAAACCAGGGTTTTAAGTTTGGATGCAGGCAGTATTATTAAACATTGTCTGATTGAAGAGTCAGCAAACAATGAATGAATTAAATCACATGTTTAATACCAGCAGGGTACTCTATTTTTCAGCATTTTATGCTACAAACTGCACAGCATTGAGGTTCAATAACTACGTCTGATCTGGATTTCAGCCACAGAGGAACAGCAGCTGATGCAAGCTGCAGGAGACAAAGCCTGCATGAACAAAGCTAGCATGGCCAATTTCACTCTGTAAAATATGTCTTTTTCATGACTGGACTCATGCTACCCCTCCTACTCACCAGATAGTTTCCTTCCCAGGCCCGTTGCAGCCCCAAATCAGCCCTCTGGCCCTTCAGGGCCTCCAGGCCGGCTACCTTGGCCCTCACCTGCAGGGTCTCCTCTGGAGATAAGCCTTTGATCAGTGTCCATGCCCACCACCTGGAGATAAACGCATCCAAAAACACACACACAGAGCAAACTTAGAACGGAGGAAAATCGAACTTTCTATATAAAGGATGCTGCACAGAGCCTTGTTACTGTAGTCGGGTCAGTGGGGTGTTGCAGCAGGACTGCAGTCGACCCCGTCTTCACTGTACTGTATTTACTGACAGCCAACATAATTCTCTAGGAGGGTTATTTTCTCACTGTGTCCGGCTTCAAATAGAAAAAAGGCAAACAAACAGACAATGGGATGAAAGGAAGTGATGAGCCTTTGATGGAGAGAGAAAAATCAATGCCCAGTGTGAGCCCAAGGCAGAAGGAAACATGTGTAAGTTGCTTCAAAAAGACTCATCTGGATGTAAAATAACACTGGAGGGCATGTGTTGTCTCCTGTGGTTGGAGTCAGATTTACTTTTAGTTCAGCCAATTTAGGAAAGCGATTTTCTTCAAAAGAGAACAATTTAAAAACATTTTGTTTGAATAAGGTTCAGCTTCTGTTTCTGTTCTGAACGTATAATACAACAACAGTTGGTCATCATTAAAAGCTGATATTTGCTTCTACAAGTTTAACAGTTCATTTACTCTTTTAAACTTTAATTTTGTCCTGTGGTTTGTTTCTTTTCACAGAGAAAACAAAGAAAGCAAACTTAAAGTGAACCATAAGCCTTATAAGAATGTTCTGTCTGCCTGTTGGCTAGATGTGTTCGGGGCAGGAGCAACAAAAGTCAATACAGGAAGAAGGTGCTGTATTCAGAAATAGTGGATAACAAGGAGAATTTACTCCTAACATTCATATTTGTTTATGGTGAGAATGTGATCCCACCTCGATCTGCCACATGGACGCTGCAAGTCTGAGCTAAAGATCTCTCAATAGCCACATATGCTTTGAATTCTGGGAGTACACAAACTCTAAAATAAATGTTAGGTGTGCAGATTAAACAAACTGTACCAACTAGCTATAAAATTAACCAAGCCCTCACCTATATCCTCTACTTATAAACCCAGCCCTAGACACATTTGGCCAACAAGCAGGTTAAACGCTCTCACATGGTTTACAAAGATGGATTCTGGTTTGCTTGTAGTTTTTTCTTTGCGAAAACAAAACAACAGGGAAAAGTTACAACTCTGCAGTCTAATCAATTATTCCAGACTAGCATAAACCAATTATAGGAGTAGAAACACACTTACATACATGATGGGCCTGTTTAAAAAAAAAAAATCTATCTCAGCAGATGTTTTCTTGTGGAGTACCTGCTATGGATGCTCTTGAGCGCCTCTTCAAACCTGCGCAGAACCTTGGGGGGCGTGGGCCACTTCACGTGCCTGCCATGATCCTTCATGGATCGCACGTTTTTGAAGCGACGGTTGACCTCACGGATGTAGGACTTGACCTTGTAGCGTCTGTAGGCCTGCAGGATGGTGAGGGCAGCTCGCATGCGTCTGTACCGCATTCTGGCTATAGTTCCTCTCCACACCTGAAGACAAGGGTTCGCATAAAGAATACATAGATATAATTTTATTGCAATTACAGAACAGATCTCCACATAGAAAGTACTTTTAAATGCTTTATGGCAATCCTCACTCTGGGGTTTTATGGCTTATTATTGCCTCTCTTTCTGCTCATAATGCAAAATGATATTTTGATAACTTTGCAAGGAAACTCCATCATTTGAGATGACAGGCCAAGTCTGCCTTTCATAGAAAATCCAATCCATCTCTATAGTGAGCTAATAAAAACCTTCACATCTGATTTAAAACTACATACTGTATGTTACAAACATAGTCTGGCTGAAACTGCTGTAAAAATGAAGGAATTCTTCACAGTAGTGTAACATTGGGCTGTTTTTATGGCTGAGTGGTGTGGATTCCTGTGTTTGGCTGAGAACAGTGTAAAGGTTTAACTAGCAATGGGCCAGACACTCCAGCATTGATTAACCAGTTGTAGCCGGAGCTTATCTGCAGAGTACTAGTTAAAATGTTCAATACAGCAGCCTTTTTGTAACCATGGTTTAAAGGAGCAATGGAATAGGGACAAAATTAACTTCTGCATAAACAAGAACCTGAATTCAGGATGCGTGGCTGTAGCTGCACATTTTAAAGTGATAAACTGTTTATGGAGACTACTGCGCAAACACTGAAATTACTCTGCATTACCAACCACATTTTAAGCCACACCTTTTCACACTGTTTTTCGAATATGTAGACTAAACCAACAAACGTAAAGTAATACTGTGATGTATTTTGATTTATTTCTGTATAGTGTGAGTGCAATCCCAAAAGTAAGGTCTCCAAAGCGGTGGGGATGTAGAGAAACTGTTCATTCGGCTGTTCGTCACACTGTTGTGATTGGTGCTTCCTCCACTCTCAAACAAGCATGCTCAGCTTCACTTGGATGCTTGTTTGGGCTTGGCAGACGTTGAAAATGGAGCTCCCGTTTTCAAGGGCGAAATGTGCGCAGTTATTCGATTTTTGAACGCAAAAGGCGTTAAACTGGTTTGTAAGTGGTGTAGAGAGTTTACAGCAGTACGAAGAGGTAAAAGATAAGGTTCAACGCTTCCTGAAGGACATGGCGGCGAGCTGGTACGACATGGGCATTGTAAAACTAAAAATATGCATCAACTGACATGATGATTATGTAGAAAAAGAAATAATTCAACCTTTAAAATGATGTAAATATTATAGAAAATAAACAGTTTTTGCATTTCTAAAAAAAATAGGAGATCTTACTTTTGGGATTGCCCTCATATATCCAGGTTCCTCCAGGTTTTTCCTAAATGACTTTTTACTGACTGTATACTGGTTATATATTTAAAATAAACGTAAAACAAACAAACAAACCTATGACTGACAGTAGTGTATATACTCTATACTCTGTCAAATGACAAATCAAACTGAACTATACTTTAAATCAGCATTGGTTTCTTATAGTTTAGTACTACACAGAACAAAGAGACTCAGACAGCAGTGATGTTGCTTCACCAGAACCACAGAAACAAAACATTTTTAAATTGTGGAGCAGAAACAAGCAATTGTGTCAAAAATGTACCTGAAACCAATATTAATAATTTAATAACAATAAAGTAAAATGAAAAACAAGCAGGGAACTGTCAGAAAGAATAAGGAAAACAGCCCCCCCGCCTTTTCGATCAGCAGACCTGCAGTTTCGCTGCAGTTACTTTAAACCCTCTTGTATCAGAGACCACATCAGGGATCCTGCTGTACCCTCAGACAAACACTGACACACGTTATCAATAATTTAAAACACTGTCCAAAGCTTCAACTTCGAATGACCTAAAATGGCCTTCATGTAAAGAAACAACTTCCAACATTTTGCCCTTTTATGGATTGCAGCAGGTTGCCTAGCTCATGAATCTATGATAAAAATGAACCGTAAACACATGCAACCTACTGCACTTAAATATGAATCATGAGGTCTTCATAGCAGCATTAAATTCACTTAAATACCGCTATAGTAGCTAATATATAAGCACATATTTCAAAGTGTCAAGCACCATGTTTTTAAATTAATAATTTTGTTGTGACTCACCATTACAACTCATTAAATCTCTCATTTGTTATACATTTCTCACTGCAATGTTTAAACAGCCTTTATTCAGTCTAAAGAAGCTAAAATAAGGACCTGCCTGTAACCAAACATAGACTGAGTGGCTATTAGACACTCGAGAACATGAATAATAGATGTAAGTGGGACCCCAGAGAACCATAACTCTAAACTCGGCCTCACTAAAATCGCCACCATATGTCCTCCTTTCGCTGTATTCCCTCCCTCTTATAGACACATACACAGGCATGCATGAAGCCTCTCAGTTTATTCCAGATTTAAGTGGCTACATTGTGTCTAAATAATCTTTCATCGCCAGTAATCCAGTGTCACAGACCTACAAATTTAAGGCAACACTGCAGACTGCACTGGAGGCTCTCTAGCAGATATCATCTGAGTGTAATGCGCAGTAATCATAGATATCATGAATATTTAATGGATTCAAAGTGTGGGGGAGGCCGGTGGCAAAGAAAAGGATTTGTTGCATTTGCATATTAAAACTGTGGAGGTGGTAGTTTTCACCTGATGAGACTAACAAATGCCAGAGAGGAAGATAAGTCATGCACTGCTGGACTGCAGCAGAATAATTAACCGCACCAGCTGAAAATTGTTTTATATCTAGTGAAACATTTTCACTTTTTAACTAAAGCATGTAGAGAATGGTCTAGCTTAGAGTGCTGACTTAACCACGTCATTACTTACAAAGTGGAAAGAGGGTAGTTATGAGCAGAAGCTGAATCACATTTGGATCAATGAGGGAAAGATAGCCTGTTTATAATGACCACAGTGGCTTGATCACACGCTCTTTGTTAAAAAAAAGGGGGTTTAATTTGTATTTTTAATCCTCCAAAGTTTATGCAGTTGTACATTATGCCCATTAAGCTGAGATCAGCCGTAGTTAGCTAGAAAGAATAATCAGCTCCCCAGATGTTACTGTAAATGAGATACGTTCAAGTATACTGAGCTGGTTCCTGTTCACAGTAGATGTGATTCTTTATATGGCTGTGTTAATTGTTACAGTGTAGCTTTGATAAATGCCATGCCCCATATTAAAGCTATTCTTAGTCCAAACTATTGTGATGCAAAGTTTGTAGGTTTTATGTCTCTGCTGTTGAAATTCAAATTTCCATCCACAGATGTCGTTAAAGAGAAACACAACATCGTCTTAAAGCTGCAAAACTGGATTACTTTTCCAAAACAGCTCAAGAAAATTGATCCAAAAGAGGAGGGGGG